TATCTCCCCAGCGGCATATGTGGGACGCTTTGCCCATATATACACCATTAGGGAGATGAATGTTAGTATTGTTTAAAAAGCTTAAGTTTGAAATAGATATAATTTTAAAGATATTATACTCTTAAATTTAAAAGCTTGATTGATAATATATTGTTTTTTTGAGACAAGCATTATCGGAGAAAAATTAATATACAGTGGTCGCAGTGATTTAAAGTGGTCATTAAATTAACATAGCTCTGGGCAGTAAGTAATTTTAAGATATAAATTACAACTCGATGAAATTTAAAAATAGAATCGTTTTAATTCGTACTTAATGGCAGTGTTTGAGTTATTAGTTGTACTGTTTTGCTTTAAATTACAGGAAATATTCTTTAAGAACGAGTCATTCATGATCATCTGATTATATTCACGTGAAAGAGTTCGTACGATCTAAATTAAGATGGTCTAAATAAGGGATACATAAATATCGATATTGTAAACCTTAATTTATGAACTATCTTTATTATTTTTTTAAAAATGAATTTTTTAAATTTGTAAGTAAATATTAAGTTTTTTCATTTATAAATAATTCTTAAAGTATCAACAATTTAAATGTTGGAAATCATGTCGATTTAATTAACCATAAAGAACTAGCAAAACAAAAACTTTTAAGCCAAAGAAAAATGTACCCGAAGGTACAAAACAACATCAACTTCAAAAATATGCTGAAGCCACGCTTGGTTCCGGAAATTTAAAACTTGCTGTGGTTTTACCTGAAGGTGAAAATCTTGATGAATGGTTGGCAGTAAATAGTAAGTTATCATAAAAAATATTAGTTTCTGATTACTGATTATTACTTTCTAATTATTCTTATTAACGTATTATTCTTTAGCCTACGATTTTTTTAATCAAGTAAATATGCTTTATGGTACAATCACTGAATTCTGCACTCCACAACTATGCCCTGTCATGTCAGCTGGTTCAAAGTAATAATTATTTACTTTTTTATATTCTTAAACGTCTATTGATGCTAACGATTTTCTTTGCTCAAGATACGAATATCATTGGTCTGACGGTGACAAGTATAAAAAGCCTACGAAATTATCTGCTCCCGAATATGTTGATCATTTAATGGAATGGGTGCAACAACAACTTGATGATGAATCAATATTTCCAAGTAAAATTGGTAATATCGTTAAATATTTTATGTCATTATCAATTAACTAGTTAATTAAAATTTTTCTATTTTTTTTTTTTTTTCAGGTGATCCTTTTCCACCCAATTTCCAAAATTTGGTGAAGAATATATTTAAACGTTTGTTTCGTGTTTATGCTCATATTTATTTATCTCATATTCAAGTTATAGAAGCTTTGGAAGAAGAAGCTCATCTAAACACAAGTTTTAAACATTATATTTATTTTGTTCAAGAATTTCAATTAATTGATAAACGCGAATTACAACCTTTGGCTGAATTAATTACTAGTTTGACTAGTCAAGATTAATTTATTAATTATACATGATATTTAATAATTGCTATATAGTATACGATTTAGTATTTGATCATTAAAATATTTGTGTACTAATATTGTATTTTTGGTAATTCTATATCTTCTATTGGCTGTATTATTGATTTTACTCTCTTGAACATATTGTATTCTATATGTCAATGCAAAATACTTTAAGCTTTTATTATAATTCTTAAACATAATATTTTATAGTTTAATAATAATTTAAATAGCTCTTTTAATTTTTAAACCTATAAATAACTAAATTATCTTTAATGAATGTGTTAAATTTGACTATAACTTTTATATTTGAAGCAACTAGTAATTAGTTGACCAGAAGTAATCGTAAATAAAAAATAATTAACCAAAATTTTTAACCATATATACAGTATATAGTATAAAATAAAAATTTTTACCAATTACTGTAATAGTTTTTATTTTTACTATAAAATACAGTATTAGTTTTTTGCTATATGTATATTATATAATTGTTTATAATTGTTTATAATTATTTAAAAAGTTTTGTTTTATATATATATTTTTTCCTTTAATTATTATGCTACTGCATCTACTGTATATTATTTTACTATAATTTTTTAATTATTAATATAAAATTTTATATACAATAATATTTATAATTATTTTGTTATTTTTGCATATAATTTTTAAAATTTTTTAACTTAATAATAATACAAGTATATACAAAATTTATTACAACTTTTAAACATAAAAATTAACAATATTAAACATGATAAGAGTTCAAATTTTAGTTAAAGTTAGGCTTTTGGAGGTTCTGAACATTTTTTACTTAGAGTCTCTAATTACTTAGTACGTTTTTAAGATAATCACTGGTTATAGTTAGATTATTATTTAAGTTATCTACCTACTAAAAAATTTTATATGTTACTTTGAATATTATTTAAGTTTTTGTAATACAATTTATAAATTTTATTAATTACATCTTCAAATTGATATACTGTATGCAGTATGAGCAGTTACAACTATTATAACTATTTCTAATTTAGTATGCTTGTAATTGTTTTTACATTTCTTACAGGTCTAAGAATATAAACAAGTTTAAAATAATAGAACCTCAAATCTTTAATATAATTATATTTTTATAAGTTATGAATAACAAATACTATTTTACTGTAGCTAACAGGTTGGTGACATTAGAGATTGTACCCGGGTAAACATTTTATTATATGGCTATAATAAATTACCCGGATAACTGGACAATTTAATAATACCCGGTAGAGATTTTCTTGACGGATATAATCTCTAGGTGGCATTTAACTAGTTTCAAAACCTTTTTACCATTATTTTTTATATATTTCTGTAAGCAAATATAAAATTTTCAAATTGTTCTAAAAAACCTTAATCTACTGCTTTTTATCAAGTTACAAAATTCGAAAATAACAAATAAGCAAAAAAGAATGTAAGCTTAAAATTTATAGTAATTTTATTTATGAATTTTATATACTAAGCATAATCCAACACTCATGTATTTACATATTCTCTGGCCATTGTGTTTGAGTTAAAATAAGGCTAAAATTGTTAAATAGGAAGTTACAGATAGTTTAAGGGCAAAATTCGTTTTTATTCATTAACATAAATCAAAAAGCCACAGTATCACGCAATCGCGTCACGGTAAGCCATTCTCCTCCTCACATTAATCAAATTTTTAAGAATCACTTATTTTCACCACGGAATTTCATTACATGCAGGTATTATAACTATGTAATTGTTTTTTTTCTCTGAAAATCATCCTATAATTCTGTAGTTGGTACTGTATAAATATATAAAAATTTGGTTTTTACAGTAATTATTAATATAAAATTGGCTGTTGTGGCCTAAATAAATGTACTATAAAAGCATGATTGTAAAATCGAAATGACTAAGATTATAAGTATAATCAAATAATTAAATTAAATAGTTTTCTATTACAGTATATGACATCAATAACTGATATAGCAACCCTTTTTGTTTTTTGTTTTTTTTTATCTTTCAAATTTCATGAAAGAAGTTCACCATATGATAGTATAGCTTTTTACCTAAATAAAGTAATAAGGGAGGTATATATTAAAAATGTGATAAAGGTCAGAAAGAAACAATCAAATATTATTTACCTTGCTGAATAAATAGTTCTTTTCGTTTCTCAGACCTATTTCCGTGTATTCATCTGTTTGATTATTTATGCTAGTGTACACTATTAAAATCCAATAAAGTTAAGAAACCTTATAATATCATTAACATTCAAATTACAGAAATATACATACCAATCCATGACAATTTATTATTTTTTCCTATAGAAGTTGATTTTAAATCAAAACTTAAACAAAATGTAAATTTAAGAGATTCACGATCGGTAGCAGATATTGTTAGAATACGATCATCATTCAATACCCATGTTCCTTTCATAAATCCTTTTGATTTGTATTCAGATGTAAATTGTTTTACTACGTTGATTGGTTCAGTCGTTGTCAATAGTAATATACATGTACCATCCGAATAGAAACGAAGGTATCGATAATAGGTTATTAAGTGAATCGGTTGATGCCAGGCATTTTCTGCGGCCCCAGGTCTTTAAACAACGGAATAAGATAGAGCGCAAGACATAAAAGAAAACGTATAATGTAATAGCAATTAGGCTGCATACCTCAAATAATGACACGTAGATATATATACACCATCCAACCTTATACGAGGTCTATTAATGCATATATTAGCAATTTAAATAAAATTTATATAAAGAATCACATTTGATGACAGAAATATATATCACCTTTCTATATACATCCGTCTCCAATCATTAGCATATAACAATTCCACGTCTTTTGCTAATAATTTATTTGATTCATTGCATTCTAAGTTTAGATATCTATATGCTTTTTCACACAAATATTTCCATAATGAAGGTTCTCTCGATAATAATAAGAATTTCTTGCAAACTAACCCAAATCTTTCAAGGGAAGTAATATCTCCATCCATAACCAATTGCTCTAGTATGCTTATTATCGACTCATTAGGAAGTTTTGCAATATAAACAGGATTGTACGCAATAAGTGGTTCTAATGTAAGTTGCGTATCTCTAAATGAATCAATTAAAGTCGTCAATTGGTCTTCATCATCCCGTTTTTTTGAGTCAGAATTTTGAGGTTTTGATCTCGATCCTCTTCGATCCCTTTTCTTTATATCGTCTTGGGTGATCGAATTAGAATTATTTTTACTTCCATTAATGTAATCTTCTCTATGCTCTTCCAAGTGCTCGGAAAAAATTTTTGAGAATTCTAAACCTCCAAGTTTTTGACCAGCTACAGTATTTTGAATATATTTTCTATACAAATTATCGACATGAGAATCAAGTTTTAAAGCTTGGCGATAATACTTGAGAGCTTTGAAAAAGTAACAAAGTTAGTAAAAATTATTCAAAGTTATTAAAACATATAATTTGTAACAAACCTTCACTCAAATTTCCTTCTTGTTCTTTGGTAACTGCCATAACGTAAATTTCCAGAGCTTTATTACGTTTAATTTCCTCATTATCATATGTTTCAGGAGTAAAATTATTAATCTCTTCTTCTTCTGTCTCCTTCAAATGTTCTAACAGTTGAACAGGTACTTTAGACGAATTAACAGAAGGTACTTGAGTTATCTGCCTTTTTTGCTGAGATATTTCGGCTTTCCATTGTTTACGAAATTCATCGAGTTCATTATTTGAAATTTCATCGTTGGAGGATGAATCAAGATTTTTCATCGTGAATATTTCGTTTGGTAAAAAATGTGCTTGCTGCGAAATTTGCGGCCGTTAAATTGATTTTAATTTGTCAGACGTGGCACAATTTTCAGGCGATTTTCCGATATAGTAATAGATAGATACAGTGTTAACGTTAAGCAGGGACGAAATATTATTTCAACCATTTTAGGTTAAATTTTGATTTATTTCGAAAAAACTATTTTCAAAAACTAGGTTTTTTAAGATTAAAGTCGATTTTTTGAAACCAGTTTCAAGTTTATTGGGTTCATTTGATGATATCGATATTCCAGATTTGACAACTCCGGAATTTGCAGAATCGCAGTCTGTTTTTATTGCTGTATTGGTCTGATGATTTTGGATTTGCAGAATTTGAGGCGTAGCTTAGAGTGTACAGACTTGTGCAATTACGTTTTAGACACATAAAATGCGTAGTAAATTTACCTTTTTGATGTAACTAGTGTGATATTTATGCAAATAACGATATCGCTTAATATCAACATAATAAAACCAATGAACATAATATCACATGTTTGATTTAAATATGATATGCGATGATTAAACAATTACGAATGGCGCAGTAATTTTCGTCTAACAAATACGAATGGCGCAGTAATTTCCATCTAATGTATCTAACGCTACTTGTCTTTAAATTGCAATTGTTTATATCAACGTTAGTATTAGTATTTAAAGAAGCATTAAAATTGTTGAATGTTTTGTTTAACAATGGGTAAAACAAAAATTACAGCTCTTGAATATGTAAATTCTGATAATTATAAAGATGATTTCTATAAATTAAATGGTCAAATGTTTTGCATTACCTGTAAACATGTCATCAATCATACTAGAAAGTTCATAATTGATACTCATCTTAATTCACCATCGCATAAGAAAAAAAGTCTTGCCAAGCTTTATTTGATAATACCAATAAATTTGAAAAGGCAAGACATTAATTTGGTATTAGTTAGAGTATTTATTGAAGCTGATATTCTATTAAAAAAAATAAATAAGTTGCATAAATTTTTACAAGATTATTATATTGAGGATAAATAAATTAAATTAAATATTTTAATTAAATCTATAAATTAATTATAACTTATATTTTAAATTAATAATAAATAAAGAGATCATTGGTACTATTAGAGGCAAACCTAACTCTAGACCTCACAAGACCAATAAACAAGCATTGTGCAATAATGCCTATGACCAGGAAAAAATGAATGCTGATCTCCCTGCAACAAACCAGTTGGGCCCAGGTTCTTCAACTGAAACCGTAATGCTAATCTTATAGAGAAAAGTCATCTACTCAATTTGGTTTGACAGCTATCAAGGCAATATTATCTTGTCAAATAAGGTGTGTGGCCATAATAGAGTTGGTGAATACATCACCAAAATTTGCAAGGGGATTACTATCGATTTTAATTGGTTATTTGATAGTAATCATTTTAAATCCCTACTATCGAGGACTATCGATTTAGATAGTAATCGATATAAATCGATATATATAGTCAACTCTCTTTAAACTAAACAGCAGGTTTTTATATGTAAAAATATTTAAAGATTCAGTTTATAGAGTTATTATGTTGCTAATCTGAACTAAATAATAAATTTCACAAATGTTCTGAAGCTTTATGTTCAGTTTTCACAGAGTTTATTAAGTGTTTAGTTTATCCAGGTTCAGTTTAAAAAGAGTTGACTGTATCAGGTTAAAAATTCTGAATAGTATCGATCAATAATATATAATCAGTTCTAATCGATTTATCCTATTATATCAAAATCATTACTATTATACTGTATACTTATTATTCTTATTTAGTAAATATCAAATATTACTTTTCATAATGCAAACAAATGCAGACAAATGCAATCTAATTTTATTAATTGAAATGTAAAAAATATATATCACAAAATTACATACAACTATATAACTAATTTGACTAATTAAAACTAAACTAATCATCATAATTTAGCCCAAACAAATCATCCATATCTTCTTGCGAAAGAAGAGCCATTGAACCACTACCTTGCAAAGGAGTCGCTGATTCCCTAGATTCATGTTCGGGGGTATTTGGTCGAGAATCAGAGGGTTGCCAAACCACTAATTTGTTTATAATCATTTCAGACAAATTATATAATAGACCACCGTTATTAAAATCGATCTATATTTATTAAAACATTAATATTGTAATATTATATAATAAAAGAAATAAAAAAAAAGTAAATATATACCAGATACTTTTCAATATGACGTTTCATATTTTTCTTGTCATATATAATACTCTTAGATCTAGGATTCAAGAATATATCGCATACCACAAGTGCAAAGGTGCAATGTTCGCTCATTAGGGTAGAAACTGCAACTTCTAAAAATGCAGCCCTTGCAATCGTGATGAACCAGAACACACTGTCGTTATTGACTTCAAACAATAAGCAATGACAATTGCTTATATTTGGGCTTTTCTTCCATTTTACAATGGTGGAGGCTTTCATGTTACTTTTTAAGGGGGGCAACCACTCAGAACTAAAAATTTTCCATATTGCTGACCGAATGCTCTGCAATGCTGCATCTCGATAGTTCTTCATTTTTTAGAGAAGCTATTATTACAAAATCAAATTCTTATTATTAGTTATTGATAAAATAAAATTTAAAAAAAAATTATTAATGATTAATAACATTAAAAAAATATTGTTAACTAAAAAAAATAGTATCGATTAATTACGCACCACACTACACTATTTACCGTGAAAATGGTTTGTAAATTGATTCGTATTTATGCTTTGCATGAACTTGGGAAGGTGCTCCTTAAGGTAATTCTTTATAGTATCCTTCAGGACACTTTGGCTTGGGTAAACATGGGCCAGGAATTAACGTTTTACAATGCAATTATATACTCCCTTTAAAATAAAAAAAAAACATTGCAATGAGCATATACAATATAAAAAAAAATGTATTCAAAAAGAAAATCACTTATATCTATTACATGGAGAGAGAGTTCAGTTTCTTTATCATCTCGGCTCCTCTTTAATTAGTTTTTATTTCTTTATAATTCTTATTGAGCTGTTTAAATAATAAGTACAGCTGTTGATTCTGAGCACAAAGCTGCTCGAATTCCCTGCGGTAGTGGTTGTAGCGGAGTTTTTTTTTTTTTTTGGGTTAATAAGAAAAGAAAAAGGTTTGATTAATAAAAAAAAAAAAAAAAAAGCTATTTATTCAAAGAGAAAAAAAAAAAAGCCTTATATTATTATCATCACGATTACGTGATGCATCTCAATTAAGTGGTGTATCTTAATTGGTTGATATTCCACGTGATCTTCCTCTAGGTTCTGGATCAGGTGAATACTATGGTGAAGAAAGATTTATATCATTATCCAGTGATGAATGACAAGACTGGGATTTATAACAAGAAGGTGGGCATGCTTGAGAAGGTTGATGAGATTGTTGATAAGATTGTTGATGAGATAGTTGTTGAGATGGTTGTTGAGATGGTTGATAAGATGGTTAATGAGATTGTTGTTGAGTTGGTTGGCAAGATTGTTGTTGAAATGGTTGTTGAGATGGTTGATGAGATTGTTGTTGTCAATTTCTTCTACTCATTTTAGAGTAAATGCTTTGTACGCTTAAAATACTTTCCGTTGAATCTGATGAATCAAAATTGTTGCAATAATAAGTATTATGAGGTTGTTTTTGAAAGTTAGCTTTAGTAGATGTTTGTTGAGGAAGACGAAAATTATGAGATGGTTAAAAATGAAAAGTAT